GAGCTAGTTAATTGTAGTGAGCTAATGTGATAGAAACAACGTGTTAAAGCCAAATGTTTTACTCCAGGATATTATGCTAGTTATCAAACAAATTTTCTTTATAATCTGTTTTAAATTACCAAATTTGTTTTTAAAACTGTCCGAATGAACCCTCGCTAAAAGAGAAACTTATCTCACCCCTTCGTTCCTGTCAGACACAACTTCTCCTCAAAGTATGATCTGGAATAATTGCTCTTGATTATTGGAAGGGTGTCAATAGCCTACACCTATAATGCCTAACTTGCCTTGAAAATAAATACAGAAACGAGAGAGCTTTAACTAGATTTAAAACACTACTTAGTTACAATAGTATATAGCCAATGTTACAGCTAATTCATCAAGACAGTAAGTACAATACTGTAGCATTATTATTATCTATCTTTTAACTATATTTACTTTATAACATGTTTGGATCTGAACTAGCTGGCCCGACAGACGTCGTCCTGTCCTAATGTGGTTTTATGTCAAATGCTCGTTCATTTATAAGATGAGCACGATCGCATGGCTCAATCACGTCTTGGATGAAGTTCGTTCGCTACGCTCACTCACCTTTAGGTTGGAGCTCGTTCGCTACGCTAACTCACCTCCAGGTTGAAGTTCGTTCGCTACACTCACTCACCTTTTGGTTGCGAATTAGCTGTTGTCATAAATTGAAAAAAAAATAGTGCTGCGCCCTGTTGGTAAACCTATTAACTTTTTAATGCTATTGAACATCACAGAATTAATTTCTTTAGTTGAACCAGCTGTTAAGAATCTTTAATTCCATTTCAATATGAGTACTCATAAGGTTAACATGGGAAACTCCAGAGCCACTGGGGCGGAGCCCTTTAGACGGATCTGCACCAAACTTCACACAAACCATCCTTGAATAATGCTTAATAATACCTGAAAGTTTCATTACAATCTGTCGAGCGGTTTCGGAGTTCATAAAGGACAAACATACATACATACAAACATTTTTTTTAACAAAGTTTTATTTACAATCTGTTTTGCATTAAACATGCATTGGATTTTATACAGGGTGACAAAAAAGTCTGGAAACGGCTTAATATCTTTTTAACTAAATCCGTTAGAAAAGTCAAACTTTTAACATCAACTTACATGTATAAAAACTACTTTTTCCAAGCATTTTCATGTTTTTACCTCCACCAGGGGACGACCCGTAAGGAGTAGGTACAAAATCTTTAATGTAAGCATGGGTTGATATGCACACCATTTTAAAGGTCTGGTCAAGTGGAGTTCATTGCCGGAAACCGCATCTCAAAAGGTTCATTCGTTACAAAATGGCGGCATTTCAAAGTTCTTGTGGAATATACCTTTACAGGCCTTAATTTTGGTAAATACTCGTATTAAACATAATCTTGAGAGCTGAAATTGTATTTTAAAGTCAACTAGCCCATAGACTAAGTTTATTCAATCTTCAAAACAAATTTAAACGGGTTTCAGATTTCCCGGCTAATTTTGACTATGAGTATTTACCATTACTAAGGCCTGTGCAGGTATATTCCGCAAGAACTTTGAAATGCCGCCATTTTGTAACGAATGGACCTTTTTTGACGTGGTTTCCGGCAATAAACTCCACTTGACCAGACCTTTAAAATGATGTGCATATCAACCTATGCTTACATTAAAGATTATGTACCTACTCCTCGTGGGCCGTCCCCTGGTGAAGGTAAAAAAATTGTAAAACTTGCAAAAAGTAGTTTGTATATATATAGATTAAATAAATATGTCATAACTCATGGGGGCATGAGAGAATTCAAGAAAACATATAAGTCTTTATTGCAATATTTAAGTAATGAGTAGAAAGTCAGAACACAGCTTTACCAGGGCGATAAATTATTGTTGTAGATTAGGATTATCAAATCCAATATTAAATACCAGTTCCTCTTACGGTTTCCCACTTGGAGTGGATTTCGGCCTCTCTTCAGCCAGTAAAAGGCGCAATTTCCTGTTGCTTCCCAAAGAATTTCCAATTGAGATTATCAGGTTTCCATTCCATTAACCCGTGCATGGAAAGCCACTTTCCATTGAATAGTCAGTTAAACATTCAATAGTGAGGTTCTACGTCTACGTATTCATCATATGAACAAAAAATCATTTGTGTATTAGATTGTATTTCTTTATGACCCTATTTCAACTTAATGTAAGAGGTTAAACTATTTAAATCCCAGGAATTTAGGAGTGCATTTCACAACCAAACAATTAAATATCTAGTTGACATTATTTTTGTACCTTTGAATTTCTATAGGCACTAATGGTTAAAGTATTTAAGCGATATTTTTTCGACTTTAGTTTGCATTGTATAAGCGATATTAAGGGATGTTTTTTTTTTTAATAAACGTAACAGTATTTAGCAGCATTACCTAATTGCTTTAAGGCAGTTTTAAACAACACATACCATTAGGAGTGTGTGATATTATACATAAGCCGTAACACTTTATTTTAATATTGTCAAGTTGCATAGTAAAAATACGAAATAACGATTTTGGAGGCAATTCAGAGAAAATAAGTGATGTTGTGCATGAAAAGATTTCCTTTATTTCAACAGTAAAATCAATTCCTTAAAAACCGTTTAATCAATGGACTATCTTTCAAAGATAGTGGGTTTTACAAATACATTGGTAATCTAGAAATTGCGTAGATATTTCTAAATTTATCAAATACATTTATTTTTTATAATAAATTGCAACTGTTGTAATTGTGTTATAATAATCGTATTGAATATTGCAATTTAAAAAAAAATATTATTTTCCCTTACCTTGAGCTTACTTACTTACTTTATTAGTCAATAAATAATACTGCTTTTTTGGTGAATTCCATTTACAAATCATTCCATAGCAATTTTTAAAGCAAAAGGTGATTATCAGTTTAAAACACAATGAATAATCGTAGTATTGTTAAATCGAATAACTACTATTTGGCAATATCACACCTAGTTTGACATTTACACAACATTTATACACATAGTTCCGATGTAATTTATAGAGCACTTTAAAAATCAGACATTAAATTTATATACAATTTCCAACCTTGATTCCATTGCTTTGCAGCAACTCAATAATCATTGTCTTGCCTAACAATACACATCGAGAAATAACATAATTCAAGCTACATTGGTAACAAGAATTCATCGCCTAAAGGTATGTTAGATTGCTTCTACACAATCAATTACTGTACCTTACACTGCATTTGTTTAATCCAGTTTAATCTCTTGAAAAAAACTAACTGATAAAAATTATCTGAAGTTTATTAGCAGCTGTTAAAATATATTAAAATATTAAAACATTCTAAAGCAAGTACTTTAGCGGGCCCTGGACCTTTAAAAGTGCATTCAAGAAATAAGTCAAAGACTAAGAGAAAAATTACCTAAAGCAAATGTTCCTTTGGTTAAAATTCGTCTACGCGCTAAATTATAAACTTTAAAATTACACTTCAATCGTAAAAATCTGTTAAGTAGGACGTATGAAAAAGGAGGATGTTACAGGTATAAAGTATATGTATTAAGTATACAGTAGAGTTATAAGGATTATTAAAATATGCCAACATATTGAAAATAACAATGGCAATGTTTTTCGATAGTCACGTCTAAAAAGACTTGATTATAGAACGTTGGTAGTGAGGGCAGTAAAACAGCACCATGTTTATGTTGTTTAATTACTCATTGTTATTGCCCTGTAAATCTTGCTTTGATTGCTCTAATAAAGCTTCTGATTTTAAACTTGTTTTAACTACTGTACAATTTTGTTTAATAGCTTAAATAACACTTTTGGAAGAGAGAGCACCTGTTTTTTAGACTTGGATATCATAGGATGATTTTTAAGGAATGTAAAAGAACAAATAACAGGGTTTGGTCTGAGGTACGTAAATTATTTACTACTCTAAAGATAAGGTAGTCACCCTTATTTCCGTACATTTATATATTTTATTTATAAAAACGAACATCATGGCTTACTGTTGACAGTTGAATTTGAATTAATTTTACTCTGCCTGAGTATTTTCTTCTTAACGATACTAAATACGATTTAAGTAGGAATCGATAATCGATCGGTTGTATTCAGTCGTTTTATTGTTGAAATTGTTAACATTAAACTGGCCTAGCTTAAAATTATGGCAATTAAAAGAGAGAGAAAATGTCTTCTTACCAGTTTCTATGTTAGTCTAAAAAAACCACATAAATCGTTCTTTTATCTTTTTACCGTATTAAATTAATACTTTTTTTGAAAGGTAAAATGTATAAATTTAGGTTGAAAAGTATTTTCATCCAATTTACTTTTTGATTGAGTTTAGTTTCACGCATTTCAATTTTTTTTAGATTCCACTGATTATATTAAATACAGACAGTAACAACCGATTTAATATTATGACAACGTTCGCTTTTCCTGAGGAATTGTTTATTTATCAATCATAAACCATTGTCAATATCTGCTCTTCTTGTCCATTACATAGATGGTTTGAGGGAGGGAACCATTACCCTCTTAACCACTAAGACTAAAGGAGTCCGTCCGACATCATCCCTTAATAGATTCTAACCAAAACACTTGTTCAAGATTCAGGTTTTATCCTGTCCCAAATATGTCACTAATCACTGGAATGTATAGTCTACTAACTTATTTTTTTACATACGAGCTAATTTTATTAATCCTCGTATTTAATGATGAACACTACGTCGTGATTGCATACACCCTATAGCAAAAATTAAAAAGTAAACAGTTATGGATTTCTGCACTAGTTAACCAAATTTTTTTATATTCAAATTAATTTTTGCTTAAATTTTTATGTATGTTATGTTATGTCTATGTGGTATGTTAATTCAAAACGTTTAATAACTTGTCTATCTTAAATGAATATATTACTTTCCTATATAAATAACTGCCAGGATTAATTGGAGATTTATTTCATTAGTATGTAAGGATAATATTTTTAATATCTTCATACTGTATGTGTTTGGGTATATTTATTGTCTATTAATACAACTAGGATACAAATCATTATTATTAAAACTTTAACAAAAACATAAAAATAATGTTGGATTATCCATATAGTTGATTATCCAATTCAATTGCATGGTTAAATAAATAATAAAGCTATCTTTATTTAGTTGATTGTGAAATTTGCTCACTTCTCCTGTTCATTAATCTTATTTGATTTTATCAACAAACTCCCCTTCTTCACGTTCTTCAGCACTACTTGTCTTCTTCACCAGAACCATAACTGATTCACACTGACTTTCGGAAGTTTTGGACCTAGTAAAGCATTCATTTGTGTTTAGGTTCTTCACAAAACAATAAGTATATAAGTAAATTCTCTATATTGTTCTATATTGATGTGTCCCTCCGGACACATTTTAACCTTGCAGCGACAAAACCGAACCACACTCGGCAGAAATTACATTTCTTAATCGAACATTTTTTATCAGCAAATCGGTTTAACGGACTGAATCGGCAGGAAGTGGGCAATAATTAAACGACTTTTACCGTTAGAAAGATTGCAGACCAGTAATCACGCGTAAGAATACGATGCTCTCCCAGATATAAGTAAAGTGCAGTATTTGAGTTAAATTATCCTAACAGGTTTTAGGGGTCGCTGGATTAACTAACTATAAACTCTGTTATCCGGACTGACCATGGTCCCAAGAAGTCCAGATAAGATGGAGCCTATTGTATTTTCTCTACTGTTTGGTATTGTTAGTTCGTCCTTACCTTTACGTTTCTCCGGCCATTCTAGGTGATACTCTGGAGGGAAAGGTTCTTCAAACAACGCCCAGTGTTTGGCTACGTATTTCATAACCACCCCATGTTGTACAAGGGTCGTCACTGGCTTTACTAATTCTATCCTGTTGTCTTCTGTATTAAAAACGTGTTTGGACAAATATTAAAAGAATTTATAGCTCAAAATATTCAAGTCAAGATGTTGCAGTTCAATGCTAAGGATACTGGATCCAGATGACATCTTGGGTTTGGGTAATCAATCAATAATGCTATAAAAAAAGGTATGTAGTAAAAAGTTCGATATTTGACTCTAACGAGATCAGTGATACATTACAAAAGCTCAAAAATGGCTAAGATTATCGCAAAACAAATACAGAAAATCTTAGTTGTTCTGTAGACGGTATAATTCTTTATTTGAAGACAAGCACACTACTAACATTTAAAAAAACATTTTCGTCCAATTTATATCAAAAGTTTGTGTACATTTACAGGCAATTTATTTACTTTTACTTACCTTCGTAGTTCCCGATGTAGGCAAAGTCAAATCTATCGTAACCATACTGGAATCGTACGGGCAGTTCAAGATTCTTACTGGACACGTAATTCCACCCTCTGCCTTCGTAGATAGTGCCGTCGTCTCCTATCAAGAAACTGTCCAGTCATTATACACTCTAGTAGAGGCTTAAACAATAAACATAAGTGTAACTACTATAAGATAGTATGGCATTGGATGGGTCCAAAGGAATTGCATGGTATAATTTGTTTGAGGTACCAATTGACTTATTTACTACCACTCTCATGATGTGTACAGTAAGTCTGAATTGCGCCTCAGGTGTAACTTTTGGATTATTTTGTTCACTAAAAAAGGAACGTAAGCGTAACAGCATTATCGATTGTCATAGAGTATAAAAAAACACTCGTGTAACACATATTTTCGATACGGTATTATTAATTTAAATGAATTACTTAAACTTTATGTATGAAAGTAATGTAGACAGATGTAATTTTACTATCCATCTATTAAATGCTGCATCCGTTTTTTTATTTTTAATTTTGATCGTATGTGTGCTGATTTGTCCAATTAGATACATACATAGGGTACAGTAATACCTCGCTTTTTGGTTTTTGATACATCACAAAAGTAACAAATAAAAAACATCACCGATAACTTTATCTTTGGACGAAGCAAATTTTATTAATTTGTTTATTTATTACCCAACAATTAAAAATGTTTAGATAGTGTGGTATTTAAAAAATTCCTGTATGAGATATTATTTAAAATGTTAATATCCAATGGTCAAGAGTCATCCGTCTTTATTCACGTTAATCTATTTGCTACATTAATATGCAAAGCCTACATTTACAAGTAAAAGTTAAAGCTTATCTAATCACAGAAATGAAAGGTACAGCGGAAGCTTGTTTGTGTTGTGAGACGACCGTACACTTCCAGCTTTAGGAGCCACTATGTAGGGCCGAAAATCTACCACACAAGACACAGGGTCTTCCTCCAGTGTGAGGGGCATACTACAAGATAGCCAGGGGGCGGTGACGGACCACAGTCACTCCTAGACACCAAGATTTCTTCATCTAAATCCCCAAAATTTTTGTTTAAAACCCCTAAATTTTTGTGTGCTAGACACCACAAATGTACCATTGAATGTTTTCTCTGTAAATTAAATCTCGGGGATCAAACAAACAAATTAACTTATAAGTTTTACGGAGATTAACCCCAGATTTGATCCTAAAACTGACTATATCCTTAAAAACCTTAAAGACGTGAAACACATAGAATGGACTCTGTTAAATAACAATACAACATACTGGAAAGGTATGTCGTCTTCGCCGCACTCTCTGATCTGCCTTCGCTGCTCGTCTTGAAGAAACTCCTTGCATGACTCAGGATCGTAACACTTGTCTTCTCCCCAGCGGTAGTGCACAACAATGTTATTAACGGGACGTTTAATCCTCCCCAGCTTAGTTTTAGCAGCCCGCCATTCCCTGCGAGACACGAAGCTGTACGTTTTGGAGGGAATCGCAAGTAATTTGCCAAACTCCTCCACCTCTTCCGTCGTTATTTGTCCTTCTTCTGGAAATTCCGCTGACTCGAATGGAAATTTCACAATCGTCATAGTTGTAGAAACCTACTATTTATATTTAGCAGAAATCGTGATTGAAAACCATATCTGTCTTCTTATTCAAAAATAAGTTGAGAAATAAATTTATGTGAACAAGTATAGATTGTGAGGTTTAAACAATGTAATGATAACATATCTTTAATATGGAGTACACTACTGAGCATATAACTTTGTTATCTACAGCGATGTAAATTAGATGAGTTGTGCTACTGTAATTGCCAATGGGCACGATATTGTTTCATATGATAGAACTGTGTTAGTAAACGCATATACTTAAAAACAATTCTATCCTTGTCGTATCTTTATCCCCAATTCATATTATTATTGTATTTAACAATAGTACTAATTTTTCATTCATATGGACCAGTGACACACATACAAATGCGACTGCCGGTTTCCACCTATAACCTTCCAACGCATATGCAACGGCTGGTTACATTAAATTGGCTGACGTCGCATGTTTGCGTCGGTGTCCCAGTGTTATTTAAAAGCTTATGTCTTCATAGCGGTCTATTTGAAAGCCCTGAATTCTCTTTTAATACGCTTTTAATTCAGCGAATCGCTTATACTACAATCCTGCTTTTGTTTTACAGATACTTCAGAATTGCTAAAGTGATCCTCATGAAATTCGGCACACTCATAATACCAACTACTGTATGAAAGGTATAAATCTCAAATGGTACAAATCTGGTTGAAGGAGTTTTCTCTGCGTTAATTTGAAATTTTAGAAATCTAACATCGGCCCTATAGGTTTTTAGTCGCCAATACATTATTTTCAAGATAGCAATAAGAACTTAAACGAAGGAGTCGTAACATATGTTAGTCAACTTGCACATTACAAATACAGAACAAAATGGAAGAAAAAGAAGAAGAGGAAGATTAATATCGTTGAGAATAATTTACTACAAAATAAATAACAAATTAGGGTTGCCGGAATTAGGCTAATGCACCATTGACTTTAGATACTCCAAATGGCCATTCCATTTGTGTTAGCCAAATAAACCGCTGACTTTGGGTATTGTAAGTGGAAATTTCATTTACGTGGACTAGAACGTTCACTTTGGATACTACAAGTAGACAGACATCCCATTTATGTGAAGCAGATGTATCATTGACTTTGGATACTGCAAGGGGACATCTCATTTACGTGAACTATATTTAGCATTGACTGATGATACTGCAAGTATATATCCCATTTACTTTATGAGATATTTACTTTATGAGATGTAGCATTGACTTTGGAAAAATATAAGATTAAATTCTAGCTCTAAATTGCAAGTAGACATCTGCATTGTGCACCTAGTTAATTAAATTAACTTCTTGATCAGTATTTCACGTGACTTACGGAGTGCAAATAAAAAATCTAATACCACTTTAAACATATTTACACATATACTGTTAACTCAGAGTGAATGATATATATTAAGTCTGATGATGATTTGAGTGTCCAGTCGAAATCGATCACCATTTACCATCATTTTTGTGTATTTACCGTCTTGTGAGTTAAGAGTTAAGTATAAATATTTGTCCCAAAAGACGTATTTTTATTTACTTTACATTTAATTTATGGACTTATAGAGTGTATTACAAAACATCTACATTTAAAGACCCAAATTGATTTGATCCATAAAGTGTTTTGCTGGATAGTACAATAATTATCACACACACCTGCAAATTATGAATTAAACAACATACTACGATTATCTCAAATTCATAAGACGCTTCGTTATGATATTAACTGTTACTTTTATTTACCAAGGGTATTTTGAACGTAGGTACTTGATACTTACAGAATCAAAACCCAGGGAATTAACTACATTTAGAATATAAAAGTTTCCCAACATGCTCAAATAGAGCTTTTACGAATTACTAGGTTTAGTATAGAGGCAAACTACTAAGTACTGAAACATTTTAGAATGTTTTTCAACTACTAGGCCTATGCCCACTATATGAACCTTTGTCAGTGTACCGAGAACCTATAATAACAGCAAGTGCTTACGTACTGTATCGAAGGGTTAGCCATCTGGTTAATTAATTTGATACATGTATCTCACCAAACATGGTTATGTATCCAAGCCAAACAAACATTGTGTTTACGTTGGTAAGTAACGATGTTTGTAAACTTTAACCAGTGTATCTCTTCCTTAATTACTTACCGGATAAATTAATAATGGTGAATAAAAGATACGATTACAAAATATATCTGAAAATAATTATAACGCATAATATAAGGTAGGTTTTTACTCTTGTTTTTTTTTAAGTAGTCTCATTCCAAATTTAACTGGGTAGTTTTAGGTCTTTTAGGTCTGGTTTTAGGTATTGTAAAATTTACCTTGAGTGTAGAAAAAAAATTCAAGTTCAATTCTAAGAAAACTTAAGTTGTCTAACAATTTTTAACTTTACCTTGCTGTAACCAATTGTTATTATTTTTTATTAAAAGAATTTCGGCCAAAATTGATATTTGAAACAATAATAAAGCACAATAATATAAATTATATTTAACAATAACATAAAATTCCCTGGTTTTTCTGAATCCTATTATTACGATGCACCCATTTCATTCGATGTGTAAAAAAATCTAACCAACAATACTGTTCTAGTGTAACAATAGCATGACCCAGCCACAGCAAAGCTGCAGACTAAGCGAATTTCCATTTACCGTGTTGGATTTTCACTAAAATATTCCCTGAAAAGTGAAAGATTTATTTTATATTTAAATAACATTTATTTTAGGTTTGCTGCTACCGAGTAGAAACAAATTTTCAAAGTTTTAATCAACAAAATACATTCTTAAACAGCAACCTATAATGATAGTTTTATTTGCCTTAAGAAAAACATCAGGAATTTTCAATTAATGGGTTTTCTCCGTAAGTATTAGGTTTACAATTCAGTACCTACAATACCTACACAACTTATTTTTTTGAGGGTAAAAAATTTGAATTTTAGCAAAAGGTGTCTATGGCCTCTGGAGACATCAAACGAAAAAATGATTCGGTCCCGGGTCTAGGTCTTACCATGGAACCTACGTTAATAGCTTATCCCTTGTATACAAATCTGCGAAAAAGGTCTTATGATATTTATCTGTGTTGGTTTTTGTTTCAGTTTAATTACCTATCTACAATAATGCGTGTGTTGCTTAAATTGGAACGCGTATAGATGGCCATCAGATAGATTGCGTTTGTGTTTCAACAATAGAACTGTCTGCAAACAATCACAACACCACAGTATACGGGCATGTAAACTATATTAGGTATCGCATTGTGAGTCAGTGTGGTGTTGGTTGTTTCTAACTCATCCAGATGAATATTTTAGATTAAAATATTTGTCTCTTCTGCAATTGAAGAGTGATATTAATTTTTGGTTCCCAATATAGCGCAAAGATTGTTTGTAATAAGATTACAGGAGTAAAGTACAAAGTGTTTATTGATTCATCATGATTTTTTTCGTTCTAGCATCTTAGTTTGAGGCACATTTATAAATGTTATTTTCCTACAGGAATATAAAAATGATACGTACCTTTTTAATTAATAACTATATGATAATTATTTTATTACTGTTGTAAATTCACATAGGCATAATGATTTCAATACATTTTACATTTAGATATATTCTATTAAGAAAATTATCTTACAAAACCAGCATTAAAGGTAACTCCTGCTAAAGTAAGTGGGTGTAATAATACATTCAATTGTTGATAGCTGATAGCACAAAGGAAATTAACACGGACTTTGCAGGGTACCTAAGAATATCCAAGTATGTTGGTAGGCGTTTATATTGAATCTGCAAAAAAACTTTCTTTGTTCTTTAAAGTTGAAAGGTATAAGGAATTGGTGGGATACATAAAAAAGTATGTGGCATGACAATCAATTGGTCAAGGGGTAGTGAAGAACTACAACAACGTGGAATTAGTAAATTATAACACACTTGTTTTACGAAAATGAAAGAAAAATTCAACCACTTCTGGAACCAATTACTTTAGAGTCACGTATATTTTTACATATTTATCAACGACAATACACGAATTTACAAAAAAATTATAGTTTGACAGCTAACAACAGTAAAATGTTTTGTGTTTTATGACTAGGTTAACATTAATAATTAAATAAATTAATAACAATTAAAAAAATAATAATTAGAGATAACATGCAATATAGATTGATATCTACAAACAAATAGTAGGAAAATGAAGTACTGCATGTTCTTGGTATCCTAAGTATAGAAAAGCTTGCGTTCACTAAGTTGTAAGTGAAGTTTCGAGATAACAATAGTGAAGCGCAGAGTCCCTCAGGGATCAATTATCTAGAGAAATTATTCCAGCACATCCTTTGAGCAACATTTGTCAATGACAAGGAAAGAGGGAAAAGAGAAGATTGCTTTGTTCCTTGGACCAGAATAATAGATATTTAGAGTGATGCTAACGTTTTATAACGTATTTTTATAACAGTAGCGTTATCTCTGTGAAAACGTATCTCATAACAGAACTTGAAAATCTTAAACAAAAATGTTTAAAGTTTTGTGGTTCCAATACGTTTTTCATCATAGTAGAGTCGTAGACCCCGGGACCTCTGGGACCGAGGTCCCGTGCTAAAATCCCGCCAATCACCATGTCTAGGCCTAGTCTGAAGTAATGTGAAAAGCAATCTCAGGCTAGAACATAGTTAAAAAGCGTAAGTGATTTATCCTGGTTAAAAGCAATAAAATATGTGTTACCGTTTTCATCACAACCTAAATCAAAATTCACTAGACTATATTAATTGATATTTCTATATACCAATTAAAAATGAGGATGTGTATTTAAAACTAAATAGAAGTGAAGTTATAGGTGTAGAATAAACTGCCTTGAGTAGCTTTGATAAAAACTAAGACGAGCTGTTTCATTAAAAAGCCAATATCCAAAGACAGCGTTGACTTTTCTCAGGATCGAACTAGTGATCTTTTATATACCATGCGAGCACTATTACCACTCAGGTACCCAAATATAGTCCCCTTATATAATAGGTTCAGATTGATTTAGAATAAAAACTCTTCTTACGAATTGTTATTTGCATTTAAGTTGCATTAATTTTCTATTTTACGGTTGAGTCCACGTTGAGTCTATCAGAATCAGAGTTGCATTTTACAGTTAATCCCTTTAATCTATGATGATACTAACTGTAATATTATAATTTAATTTGTCAGTTCCAGAACGGAAATGATAATAAGCACTTATTTCCATCAATAACGGATCCATTTTGCAGTAATGTTGGTTTTGATGATTCATTTCACTCCCTCATTAAGGCTGTTTGTTTTTAGAGCAAAACAGATTTGATGGTTATTCTCGTTTAACACGCGTAGATGAAAATAATGAAACAGTAATTGCAGTTTCATTACGTAAATGGAACACATTTCAGTCGTGCTGAGATAAACATTGCTGGATGTTAATGGACAATTAGGTTTTAAATACTTTTTTAAACTTGTATTTATTGTAGCTAATGTATAGTAAAATAGTGTACATTTATAATACAAATCTAATAAGAGATTAATTTTTTTCTCTGTGATTCTACTAATTAGAATATCTATACCGAGTTAGTTGGCAAGATTGCTTTGCAAAATAAGATATTTTACATTGTAACTTATATTACTAGTTCACATTTGCTTTTAATTTATTCGACCCAATTATTAGTTTATTGACCAGTCCAAAATATGTTATAAAAAAATACTCGTACATATTCGTATTGATCTTACATTTCGACATAGATGTTTACATCAGCAATCACTTCCTTCAGTGGCAGTTTCACATGTTTCTTTATTTGGGGTTGTTAGTTTATATAATTTGGATTTAATCAGAATACGAATTGACTTTCAATACTGTATTTTATTTTTGGTATAATAATTTTAACCAGTTAAATCCTAATAACTAAACCCGGTCGTGAGCGATGATAAGGTTTTTGAATAAATTCCGAAAAAATTTATCTCAAGGACAAAGCCACACAAATCATCCATTATTGACTTTTATTAGTGAAAAAATACTTTTAATCTCATTGTAAAAGAAAAAGCTGATTGTTATGTGTGTTTCCAATTTAGACTGATTTTGAAAAATATACATTTGAGATGTATTTGGCAAGCAGTTATTTATTATCATTTCGTTTTATTTAGTCTAGTTCCAAAATAACTTCAATAACAAGAAACGCCCTTTAACGAACCAGACGAAACCAACCTTTGTCTCTAGCTTATCCATAAGGATTATCAATATGTATGGCAGGGGACCTATGTTATGGCTTATATTATGACACTACACCTTGCGTTCATATTTAGTCTACACATATTATCTCTAAGGCTAACAAGGCCACGGCGAGAGAAGAATGGCAACGTTGCAATCCAGGCCTACGGATACAGCTGTTACAGTAATTCATGATGGAGCGTCTACGTAATATAAAGTGTTCACGAAGTTACTAATGTTATTACCATAGCAATAGGCCAGCCGGTGCCTATTGTATAGATCTCTTGTATAGATGAGACTATACAATACAAATAATATTAAATCAACGTCTTAGTGAAGCGACTAATTTACCAAGTAATATGACAATCTTGTTATAAAACGCAATAATATTGTTCGCAGTATTTGCAATTTATATCCCATTTGACACGCCCCTCCACAGTACATTTCTTTCTCTATTAATTAAATGCAAATATCCCCCAGCAAAGCTCTACACCAACGTATGCACAAAGGTCTGAAGAATTCAATAAGAATTGGAAAGCGCCTTAGAGGGGTGTAAGCCGCAGTTTGATAGAGGGTGCATATTGTTAGTCAGTATAAATTAACCCGGCCCGTCACTTAAATCTCCGAATAAGAATTACAAATGACTTTGGCAGAATTCATTGTCGTTTCAGCTTTTAAAAGTTTAAATGCGATTAGAAACTTCTTCAGAAGTGAAGGCGGTGTTTGAATGGTTAATGTATCTTTTGTAAGGATGGTTTTGAAATTCGTTCTTTTTAGTGTGTGTGCTAGAAACTCTTATATTTACGATTTTGAGTTTATCCTGTTTATGTTCGTGGTCTTTAGAAAACTCTTCGAAAAAACTAAAATCATTAACTTTGGAAGACAAGTAAACAATAGAAACAGAAACATACAGATAAAGAACTTAACTATAAATTGTACAGAAAGTTTCAAATATTTAGGAGTACATGTAAATAGTAGAAACTCAGAAGACGAAGACATACTAACTAAGTTATCGAATGCCAATAAGTGTTGGGGAGCCTGCAAGAAGTTGATCTCATCTAAAGTATTGTCTCACAGAACCAAAATACAGTTATATAAGACAATAATTCAACCTATTCTGTTATATGTTAGTGAAACATGGGTATTGTCAAAGAAAAATAAAAACCGACTCATGGTGTTTGAAAATAAAGTCATAAGAAAACTATTTGGTCCAGTGCAGGAGGGACAAATATGGAGAATAAGGTAGAGAGTTAAGATAACTAACTATACACCGTCCCAGATATTGTTGCAATAGTTAAAAGAAGAAGGTTAAGTTGGATAGGGCATGTGCTAAGAATAGAGAATAAAGGAACAAGATTGTATGCAGTTTGGAGAGCCACACCTGGAGGTAAACGTCCATTGGGAATGCCGAAACTGAGGTGGACTGACCAAGTATTGAACGACATGAGGACAATGGGTGCCAAGTATGTTAGTGGTCTTTAGATACCAAAGTAGGCATCTGATCTATGCAGAAATATTCAGAATATTCTCAATGAGAATATGAAATAAGCCACTTTTACAGACTTATACTGCAGGATTTCCATTTTCTGTTTTGTGTTTTAATAATGTAATGAATTGGGACATCAATGTAACCTGGGACTAAAGTATCTGCTTCGTGGTAGAGGTGTGTAGAAACAGATTTAACTTCAAATGCGTATTGTGATAACTGTATTCCGGGTAGTAAATACGTGCCCTAACGAGATAAATTAAGTTAAGTTGACTCGAGAACTACTTAACAACCTGAACACAATCCGAATCGCTTTCAAAACTACAAAAAAATTTTTGATAAGTAATATTATTTATGTATTGTTATGTTGAACCCAAAATGTCCTCTTTATTATTTTCCAAGCACAATTTAACCATGCATTTTTAGATTGCTAAATAATTCTTAACCAACGTGTTTCGACAGAAGTTTTGTAAATGGTCTCTACTCTAGATACTACACAATAAAGATAAGGTTCAAATGAGATAGACCTGATAATATTAGATAACGGGGTAAAATATATTGAACTTAATGTAATTTTAGGTCCCTGACCTTTAGAATCAGTTGGAAAAAATGGACATTTTGTAAACAGTTATATTTTCTACTCTCACCAACTATTACCCACCTAGGTACATAATATAATCAGTAATCACTAAAGGTAAGTAAACACGTAAACATTTTACTTTTAATGCATTATTTGTGTTTAATACTGAACAAAATTTTCTGTTTAATTGTGCTAACTGTTAATATCTATAGAATAAATTTAGTTATTATATGAAATGAAGGCTCATATTAAGTACATTTATTTGTTTATGCTTTAAGTCAAAACCTATTCTAAAGGCTTCGCTCTTTCGTCTTTGAAAGATCTAGTTTTATTGTTATTTAGTTGTCGTTTTTACTTACGATAGTATTAAAGTTTACCATCTAACTGTCGACGATCTTTAATATTCATCAAAATAAACAAAGAGAAGAATTTGTTATACTTACGTGTATGATATTTACTTACTAATTAAATGTATGATTTAAGCTAATGTGTTAAATTTTAACCCAACAACTCCAGCAACAGGCTGTCTCGTATTAAACTGGGCTTTCAAGTTCAATTATTGGTATGATTTTAAAATAATTAACAAAGCTATAGAATTTATTGTATAAAAGATTAGGTACCTCAGTTACCTACAAAACAAAAAAGTGAAGTAAAAACTGAAATTTACAGATTAATTCTTTGGAATTTTATAGATTATCCATTATGATATCATTACCTTAATCTACGGTACGTTGCATAACGTTTTGTTTCCACAACTCTCAGAGACGTTAAATAATTAATTGTTAGTGCGATTGTATGTCATTCTAAAACAATGCTTTATGTTTGTAATGGTTTTACTGTAAAAATATATAGATTTATTCAGTGCAAATTATTGTAGTTTTAGCATATGTAATCAGCGATCTTTGAATTATACTTCTCCTGTATATTATGGTACAACGTGAGGTTAGTACTATTGTATAAGGATGCTGTAAATTCATTTTCTTATTGTAGCTATGGGGTTTTATTCCTTACATTTACATCTGAAGATTGCTAATCTCTAGTAGGATCTGTAACCAGATGTCTTTTGTCATTTTGTATACCAATTCATAACACAGTCAAACTAAAGGTCAACGTTCGTAACGAGACCAGTATTGAGAACGCACGTTTACAAAAACACTTTTAAAGATCTCAATGTCGTTGAGAAACAAAACAATCTTTTGGCCTGATGTTTACCCAGATATTAATGTTCTCAGAATGGAATTCTCTCACAATGGGATTCAAGGTTCCATACAACCAATCGAGACCCCAGCACCAGAACCGGAAGGCGACCCTCCCATCAGCTCGTGGCCAAAACCAGATGAGATAGAACCTTACCCCACGATGAATATTATAACTAGGTAAGTATGATAACTAGCATCGATCAAATAAGAAGGTGAGTTGGTGGGTCAGTTGGGAGCGCCACCGACTTTGGGCCTTAGGCAACACAACGATATAAACAACTCATGTAGTTCTTTACATCGTTATTGGCAACGATGTCATGGGTTTGGATTCTGGTACCTGCCACTCCTTTTTATCAGTCAAATTTCCTCTTGTATTTTACCGGCTCACACCTTGCTTTACTGAATACGTGCAGGCTTCTGTGGCCCACGTGGACGAGCAAGTGCATGGTAAAGCTGGGTTTTCCTAGGCGCGGAGTCGGCGAGCGGAGAGAGGAACGCGGAGAGCGGAATTGAAATTAACATGGCATTCCGCTCCGCTTCTAGGAAAACAGTAACATTAAACTGCCTAAGACAAGTGGAGTCCACTCTCCGCGTTCCTCTCTCCGATCGCCGACTCCGCGCCTAGGAAAACCCGGCTTAGGGTGCGTTCACAAAGAAAGCTGGTTACAAGTAACTTACTTTCAGTGCTTGTTCCAAGCGCTTGAGAATGTTGTTGTGTGTTCACAACAAACGCTTGCATTTCAAGCTCAGTATAGTCTCAGCTCTGGTTGAGACGATACCTTGTGATGAAGAGTTATTTTTGATTGAAAATGTAGAATTGAAAATTCGTAGAAGGAAAGTAGGTGTTCATTCAATGTGCGGAAGAAGTAGGTTCGGGGAATACCACCATCTATCTCCTAAATTGAAAGTGGCCAGAGTGAGGTCTTTTTCTCATATGAGAATGGAGTTAACCACGTTTAATTACATCCTCAAAAAAATTGTTTGTAGTGAGGTTTTGGGGGAATTGACATAAGCAACCTATCCATGCGCCAGAACGAATTTTGGACCAATAATAATACCTAAAAAATACTCGAAGGGAGTTTTAAACACCCTATGTAGCTGATTAATTATGATGCAAATAATATTGTGAGATATATTCAAATGTTTTAATTTTCTAGGTAAATAAAGTATACAAGTTTCATCTATAAAAATCCAACACTTAATTAATATTGAATTAAATGTGTTAGTCTATCATCTTAATACATACATGTTATATTTGTCCTATTGGTTACGGTATTGAACATTCTAGGGAAAACCCACAATACGTGGGTAATATATTTTTTTGGAAATTGGAAGCTCTAAATACTTGAGCTATCAACTCATCGACATTCATACTGCACTGTTAGTAGTTTTTAACTGACTGGTTCGGTCAACAAGCGCCGAAAAACAAGTACGAAACGTTCTTGCGTGCTTGTCAGAGCTTGTAACAAGCGCTTGCTAGCCAGCACAAGCTTTGTCTGTGAACGCACACGCTTGATACTATGTTGACTTTTCTCACGCCGGTTCGAGCTTGCAAGCGCTTGCCAACAAGCGCTTGTAACCAGCTTTCTTTGTGAACGCACCCTTAAAGAGGCATCCAACTTCTTTAAAGAAATTATATGAAAATGTTTATACGTTGTAGAGTCAAGTTCTTGTAAAGGTTAAAACAAATTAAGTTGATTTCCTGCTGCGATCTTAGGTTGGAAATATATCACTACTTGATTTATTTTCTATTAGCTTATTATTAATTGACTACGCATTTCAAATTGTTTAAAGTTGTTTCGGATGTTACTTATTATTTTGTTGTTATATGACATCTGTTTTTCTTATTACTAGGGCCATTTTTCTTTTACTATTATTAATCTATTATGTTTAGTAGTAGTGCGTAATTAATTAATCGATTGGAAATAAGCAGAAGACTCAAATAACAGTTTTAGGCTTAAAACAATTAATATTTGAATTTTCAATTATATAATCTTTTATAGCTATGTCAATTATTTAAACAAACTATTTAGTAATATTTATTCTAGACAGATGTGGGGAGCGACTTTGCCAACTGGTATCATCCGTGAAAGTATGCCTTACGACACAATAATGTTGGAGAGTTACACCGACACAGACTACTGCTTCACCAGATGGGATTGTACTAAACGAATGAGGCAAATGCAGAGAAAAGACATGGAGGAAAAAGAATTGGACATAAAATACCAGTGAGTACAGTACGTTGATCGAATATAATTCGTAATAGATCTTAAACTAAATATGCTTAAATACTAATTGTTATTTCCAATTATAAGAGAACACAAGGAGGGTCACCTTAAGTGTAATTGGAAGTACAGGGTGTTTTTAAAAGAATGCCGGGATTTCAAACGGTCGTTGCTAGAGGACTATTCAAGATAATTAAACGATTTAAACGTCAAATTGAAGGGAAAAGAATAAAGTTTTTTCTCATTCTTTCATACAATTTGGAATGATTTAATAGAATTCTGATTTTCATCAATCTTATATGAGCGTAAAACTGGCAAAGTCTGTACGCTTAGGACGATCGGCATGTTAATCTGATGTCTTAACTGAATCTTTTTCGGTACAAAGACTATCTTTTATAGATAACATCATAAAGTGACCAATTTAGGTTTGTTAAAGTGAAGACTTTGTCGAGCAATCGATTTTTTCGGGCTTCTGACGAAGAATTGTCGGATTTCTTCGACTATGTCATCGTTTGTTTTTAGCCTGATAGGTGAATGGCTTTTCAAAACACTTCGGTGCCACGAAACTCATTAAACCAGCTTCAAGTTTCTTTATCATCAAGTAGATTTAAATTTCGTTTAATTTAGGAATGGATATAAACTCTGCGAACTACAGATTACAATCTGTGCCTTCTGTTGCGCCGTAAACGTCGTACTGGCGACTGGCGTATGAGTCACAATAGTGGCCTATCACCCCGCACCTGTTTTACGCTTACCAAGGCCAAAGTTTCCTCCCTTGCTGTACGGGAAACAAAACTTAGTTATTTTAGCTTCAATTTGACGTATAAAACGTTTAGTTACCTTGAATAGTATCCAAGCAATTACCATTTAAAATCTCGGCATTCTTTTAAAAACACCCTGTATTATTTCATTATTAAAGTGAACTCTGTAAAATACAGTAGCTTTCAAGATATCTTCCTTGCGATTTACTTTGCCTTTATAGAACGCGTACGAAAACCAAAAATATAAATATATCTGTATTGGTTGCATTTTCTAAATTACCAAGTCTTCGAACAAAACACACACAAGGATAGATTTCAAAACGATGCCCCCTGATTCGCTGGTTCCTTAAATGTATTAAATCTTACTTATAAGCTAAGTCCCTAAAATAAAACTGTTGTCAATATAATCTTTGAGTCAATGATATAACTATTCCTATTTCCAGTTTGTTAAAATTAGACTATACATATTTCTGGTTCCTCACTACATTTATTTATATGTATGGATTATTTTATGCTAGGAAAACATTCACAATACAATAAATTATCTCTATAAGCTTAAAGAGAAGTTCAGTGTTTTTGTCTTTAACAAGGTGATAGTGTATTTATCGCCTATTGGTTAGTGACTAGGACTTCAGTGCAGAGGAACTGGTCCGATCCCGGCATTTACACAAAGGATTTGTGTTTTTGTACCACTTTTGCAAGCATTTATGAATAGTTGCTACTGGCATCGATTGTAAAAACCAAATAATATACATCTTATTCCAGTTTTCTACTAGGAGAAGATGACAACGTGTATGAAGGTCGAGGGTTCGGTACTCAGTCTTCCCGAACACTCAAAGCCCTCAGGGACTACCCTCACAGGCTTGACATCGCCTATATAGGCAAACACGACAGTAAGTAGTCACAGTTAAGTTCATTTTACATATGATACAATCAAAATTGTGCGAGAAACAAGTAGTGCTTAACGATCTAATAGATTTGACACAGGATCGTCAGAATTGTCCAATAAATGTTACTTGTTTCACTTTCTGAAGTATTCGTTGTACTATAAATCAATTATAGTTTAAAAGTAGGTCCAAGCACATCTTGAGGTTTAAATATCCCTTATCATATGTAATCCTAAGGTTTAAACTGTAAAAGTAGCACATAATATTCTAAATTAGTTAGACGAACTTATTTAAATTACGTGTCAAACGATACTTTTAAGTTTTTGGAGTTATTCGTCAATTTTGTAACTCAAAACCTAAGTTTTATTCCAAAAGAGTCAGGTTTTAAATGGAAATACATTCAGATCTGAAGATTACGTCTATTCTTTGCAGCACAAAAAAAAACTGTACTGTAGTTGATTTTCACTTCAACGGGTCGTACCGACAGTAAACACAGAATACACAGTAAAGAACATTAAAGAACACACATTAAACACATAGTAAAGAATATTTTTCGATAAATCAAATTTTTATAAGTTTTATGTTTTTTTAAATTTTCATTCCTTACATTTTTCTATTGCAGGGTACTGTGTACTGTCTATAATCATAGTAGCATTTATTCCCAACTGCGACTGTAGCTATGCTTGTATGTTATCGTAATTGAGATTGGAACTTTTATAATGTTTAAAAATAATATTATTGATTATATATAACTATGTGTGCGACTTTTCATAAAACTGTCTAATGCATTGTTCAATATTTTCAGCAAAGAGGCCCAACCTTGAACTATACTGCCTGTTGAAAATCCTGTTACGTTATGGCGTCAAAGAAGGCTTTATTTCAAAAGATTTCTCATTAGTGGAGGTCAAAGATGATCTTAGATACAATAAATATATGGTTGATTTAAATATTTATATTCAAATGTGGTTTTATTGGATAACCCATGGCAAATTTTCAATCTTGATTTTTATATTTTTGTATGACTGAAACTATTGGAAAAACAAGAATCTATATCTCAAATAATGATACTCCAAGACATATTCTGTGTTTATAGTTGGCCATTTAAAACGTACAAAATGGTAATGTAATTTTCTTGGAAAGGGTGGGCCGTTACTTTTTTAGGCTTTTAAGACATAAGCGTTTTTATCTGTGTATAAATATTATGTTTACTCAGCATAATCGTTTTCCAATGTTTTCATAAATGTCCATAACAAGGACCTGCTTTATATGTAACCCTTCCATGTTGTCAGATGGTCCATAATGTGGACCTTGTTGCTAAACCACGACATAACCCATACCACATATTGTGCCAGCTGTTAACCATATGACAAGGGGTTATGTATTAAAACATATCTTATGACAATTGCGTTCAAATATCTTATATTAAAACGTGGGAGGGTGTTTTTCATTTCAAAATTCGTATTTTTATGACGTTTTATTTTGAGTGAAATATCAATTTGAAAGGAAGGGAATGTCGAAACCATAATTTTTAATTTGGGGTTTCGGTTGTTTAGAAATTATGTTTTAACTTTACAAAGTCTAGCACCCGACGCTATCGTTTTACATTTGCATGAGTATAATTTGGCTTAACTAACAGCTGGTTTTAAATGGTCACTAAAATATTTGCATTACAAGGTGTTAACAAAAATATTGTTCGTTAGTCCTACTAATATTATAAATGAGAAAGTTTGGATGTATGGATGGATGTATGGATGTATGGATGTATGTTTGTGACAAGTGAACGCGAAAAATACTGGTCGGATTGGGCTGAAATTTGGCATGATGATAGCTCACATTCCCGATTAACATATGGGCATATTCTTATTTCAAAAATCCTTTAGGGCTCCGCCCCAGTGGCTCTGGAGTTTCTTATGTTAACCTTATGAGAAATGGAATTATTGAATCTTAACAGCTGTGTCAATTAAACAAGTTGGTTCTGTTCTATGATGTTCAATAGCATTAAAGTTACAATGATTACCAACAGGGTGCAGCACTATTATTTCTTTTACATTTATGACAACAGCTATTTTGCAATCAAAAGGTGAGTGAGCGTAGCGAACGAACTTCAACCTGGAGGCGAGTTAGCGTAGCGAACGAGCTAACCTGAAGGCAAGTGAGCGCAGCGAACGAGCTCCAACCTAAAGGTGAGTGAGCGTAGCGAACGAGCTCCATCCTAAAGGTGAGTGAGCGTAGCGAACAAACTTCAACCAGGACGTGATTGAGCCATGCGAACGAGATAATCTTGAAAATTAAGAAGTTAAACGGGGCAAAGCCCGCGGGTTACAGCTAGTAATACATATTTTTTTAAATTAAATTTTTAAAATGAAAATGAATTTAACTTCCAAAAGTGTAAAAACCAAATTGATATCATTCATAACTAAACATTAAAACCCCCACGTACCATCCTAATCATTGTCAGCAAATCAGATAATATGCATTCATGTAGCAAAACTTAATAAGAAAAATAGACATTTATTATTTGGTGAATTGATTTAAATCCCAACTAAAGAGTATCAAACCAACCCGAAATTTAAAGGTCCCTGAAGTGATTGACCAATCGGCGCCCGGGTTGGTTTTTCTGCCAGCAACGTTGAGCTGTCACCCATAAATCAAGGTCTCCGGGGATCGCAGATATATTATTTGGCCTTGGTATCGCTTGTGCCCCGGAATGCCTGAACTCGCATTATATACTTTTAAATGTATTTTTGTACGAGAATATATTCTAATCAATACAAACTTTTACAACCTCTTGATGGAGAAGTTGTGGACTGTTCAATATGTCTTTTTATACAGATTTATGATTTTTATATTTAAAATAGTCTTCACTGGTACAAAATATGACTTTAAAAGTAATAAGGAAGTGAGTAGGTAACATAAGAAAATATATTTTCGTACTGTTTGTGTGTATGTTTGTTAATTTGTTTGTTAGCTCGTTCCGGGCTCAATCACATAGTATCTACTGGTCGAATTGGTCTGAACTGTTACATGGCGATAGCTCATATTCCCTATTAACATATAGGTATATTTTTATCTCAAAAATCCTATTGGGCTCTGCCATAGTGGCTCTGGAGTTTCCCATGTGTACCTTATAGTTATTCATATTTAAAAAGAATCGAAGAATCTTGACAGCTGTTTCAACTAAACAAATAATTTGGGTTTAATAATGTTTAATAGCATTAAAAAGTCACAAGGTTTAACAACAGAGTGCAGCACTATTATCTGTTTGCTCTCCCTGTTGCGAAGCACGTGTACAGAGTAGATCTTAATTTACAGCCCCCCTTAAAATAGCCCAAGGTGCAGTAAGCTATATTAATGAAGTGAAGTTTTTAAAGGGTACAACTACAGTTCATTCATTGTTATATTTTGTTATTGTTATATTTTTTATACATTGTTATATTTTTCTGTAACATCAATATCCATTGTTTTGCCATGTAATAATTAGTTTTAAATATTGTTTTCTACTCCTCTGTTAATGATCAAATTTTATAATATTTTCCTATCTGTATATATTCCAATGTAAAATGGTGTTTGCCGTTGGTGTTCAATAAATAAATAAATAGTATGCCAAAAAGAGTATTGACTTTATGCCACAAACACTATGGTATATAGCCAATGGTACTGCCCTGCTAAATATTGGGCCTAAAATTCACTCTTAAACTTGGTAGTTAACTATTTAAACAGTTTGACTATATTGTAACCATGTTATTGGTAAGTTTAAGATCGTTTCAGCTCATAACCTTATATTTAAGTTCCGTTACATATGTCTCTATCAAACAATGTTAAACTCTCTCATTGTTTACTAAACCAATTTCTTGTTTCGTAGATTGTTTTCGTTACTCATTTTCAACATGTTTTAACAGAAAAGTGACACTTTTTACAACATTATAGAGCATTTTGTACTCCCACTGCTAACAAGATGTTCAGCCCACAGTTATAGCTAACGAATGTAGGATATAAGATACATGGATCCCTACGGATGTAACGAGGCCGGATCAGTCTCAGTGGACATCATTATGCAAGTGGAGTGTCGAGATATGTAGTCATCTCTTGAGACGATTATTTGGTACATTCATTACATATTGCATCTCTCGCCAATTACAAATCAATTATAAATAGTTATATGTGTGCATCCTTAGTTAAAATGTTTAGTAAAAACAACCCAAAGGTAATATTCAGTAAAATCTTCAACAAAACACTAGGTTTAATTTCTCTGTAAGCCTGTCTTCAAAAATATCGATTTTATACTACCTACACACATTAGCTCAATCAATGTTGTTTAGATTAGGTACCATCACTGACAATGGAACCAATTAGTACAACGTACTCAATAAGCTACAAACTAAGGATTTATGAAATTAACACATTCAAACATATGTGAAAACTATCATTAAAAATATGTGACAATGTGTAAATTGGCTCTCCAGCAGAGTGCAAAGGCAAGCATACGCTGGAAGTCCATTGCTGAAATATCATGGGTTTGGTAAAAAAGGACATTCTAAGGAAATTAAATAAATGTAGATTCTTCAAAGATTAGTACTTGAGAAAATCTATTATAAGCTGATGATGATATTTTCTTTTTAAAAATTGTCAAACGTGCTGCAGTATTTAGGTGTCACGTATACAGCTCTATATGTATACAGTTATTTAGGCGTCATATGTCTGGAAACCCAATACATTTTTCTATCCACTACTGAGTGAGTGAGTAAGCGATGGAGTGACATCTCACGTCTGTATAGAGAGGTATCGGAGTGAGAAGTATTGTAATGAGCTGTTTGGCGATGAGATCTCCCCCTAGGGAGGTCGTTACCCACCCAACCCCCGGGACTCCATCACAAACCATAAACTGCCACTAATGGTTTTGTTTGATCTCTCAGAATAACTGTTACTTTTGTATCTCATTGTAGGGTTAAATGTGTGAGGTACAGTTTCGGATGGATGAGGTGGTTGAACTTTGAACTTTTAATTGGTTAATTTAGATTTTTAATTTTCATTTATCAGATAACTATGAAAACAGCTATCTTTTCACGGATATTGATCATAATATTAAATATTGTTACACATTATTTTAGGCCTATTGGGTCTGATGATGATTGGAGTGTCCAATCGAAATCGATCACCACTTACCATTTTTTCTGTATATTTACCGTCTTTTGAGTAACAGTAAAAGCGTAAATATATGTTTTAAGTGTCATAAGACGTTTCTTTTATTTACTTTCCGTAAACTTAATAACACGCACAATGCTGATCAAGAAGTTATTTAGTTTTAATATACATTGATTTAAAAAAAAATAAAAATTACCTCTCATAATCTATCACAGACAGTTTTAAGCCGTACAAGTTGATGTATTTGCAATGTCCCATCCTACAAAATCGCATGGGTGCATTTCACGGGTATACAATTTTATGTTGTGTACAATAAAGATTATATACTCCGTATAGGACCAATATGGCTAAACCATAACATCGGAGAGCTCTTAGAGGGTAAGAAGTCGTTATCTTTTATGATAAGAGCGGTTTTAACGAACGTACTTGGGGCAAGGATATGAATCAATTTAATCGAAAGTCTACTTAAGGGCCAATGATGTTTACTATTTACTTTTAAGATTGTTATAAAGTGGAAAGTTTATTATGATTACTTGCACCTTTACTCAACGTTTTTAGGTAACCCATTTTAAGCGATGGTGTTTTATGTTGATCTATTATAGCTATACGACATTATTTAAGCTATGGTAAAATAGTTTGCGAAAAAAGCTTAAGTTATGAATCAAATGTTAAGCTTCGTCATGCATTTAATGTTTAATGGCAAAATAAACACCTTTGATTAAAAGAAATATTTCTTCAACTTACTACTTTAATCAATAAAAGAATAATAAAGAGTAGTATTTATTACACAATAGTTATCCCTAATTACCTTTTAGAATGCTGTTTGCAGCGTCGGACTAAATTTTAATCAGAACCAAATTAAAAGTAAAAATACACTATTTATACTTAAAATACATTTCAACTATCAATATTTTGAACTCATAAATACACGAAAAAGATTATTTTTTCAATAATTCTTGATCATTTAGATCTAAATAGTAGTCTAAATTACAAATCTGATTGAACAAAATTACAACGAAACCAAACTACGAGTCAGTCAAAGTAGCCTATTTGTTGTAATTTTTATGTTTAAATTATGACTGTAAAGGGTTGTATGCATCTTTTGTATTCAAAATTTACCTGTTAGAATATATTTTAAATTAACAATAAAATACAATACTACAATGATATGACACCACAACACAAGATGTGCTAGACTTATACTCAGAAAAGCTTACTTATGTTACAAAGTAATTATCTTTCGTAGGTCTAGATTATAGCAATGATAAATCGAATGATATCTGACGTGGTTTTGATAACGTTTTGATTCATGAGGAGTCAAACTTTTAGGTTAAAATATTGTTAAGTTACAAGTTAATTATTGAACATTTCTGAATTAATTCGTATTGTACTGTAAGTATTAAAATTGAAATGATGGAAAATAACTTAATTTTTTTTACAAAAGTGGATTCAAGTGGTGAAGGTGGCATCAGAAATACAATTTTATCACTACAATAGTTATACTTTTGAATGGTTTTGTTGAGTTTGAGTTAATTTATCTATGAATTACAGTATTCATATGGTGGTTATTTAAAAATAAAAAAATCATTGCAAATTGGTATGACTATTTTCCTTTTGTACAAAACTCTGTAAAGAGGTAAAAACCTAACATAACACTCATAAGAACATTACTGTACCCCAGATGTTTTTTTTCAATTTTGATTTGTTTATAGTAATATGCCCATAAAACACATAAAATTACAAGAAAAAGACATAGCATACAGATTTTCACAAAAACTGTGGAATTTATTTGGATAAAAATTTAGTATAATATAGTAATTTTAATTTTGAACGAAGTTGTACAACCCGCAATGCTATAAGAACTACGGTTAAAATTGTAATGCATTTTTTGTGATTTCCCCCAGTAACAGTTTATATAGTTACTCTCGCAGCTTGTAAATTTTGTGCCAGATGGCCGATACTAATAATTTAGCATAAATATTATCCAGAGGTTAAGTATTTATACAAATTTAAAATTTAAATTACCTTCTACCGCTTCCAGGAAACGAATCCTAGGACACAAACATGGTCCGGGTGATCACTGTGGACAACCACGGCTTCCTATATCTGGTGGCCAGGAGCGAGTGGATGGCCAAGGACCCGGTCGACTGCACTATGGTTACACGACCGTTCAACAGGGTAGTGTTAACAGTGACTCGGACACAGGAGTGTAACAACCGAACAGACTGTATCAACCAGCTGAGGATGTTGCAGGATAAACATATGGATGAGGGACAAACTGACATAAAGCCTAGGTATGTGACCAACACATAGCAGAGGCACAATCTGACATAAAGCCTAGGTAGGTGACCAACACATATAAGAGGCACAATCTGACATAAAGCCTAGGTAGGTGACCAACACATAGCAGAGGCACAATCTGACATAAAGCCTAGGTAAGTGACCAACACATAGCAGAGGGAAAATCTGACATAAAGCCTAAGTAGGTGACCAACACATAGCAGAGGCACAATCTGACATAAAGCCTAGGTAAGTGACCAACACATAGCAGAGGGATAATCTGACATAAAGCCTAGGTAAGTGACCAACACATAGCAGAGGCACAATCTGACATAAAGCCTAGGTAGGTGACCAACATATAGCAGAGGCACAATAGACATAAATCCTAGGTAGGTGACCAACACATAGCAGGGGGACAATCTGACATAAAGCATAGGTAGGTGACCAACACATAGCAGAGGGAAAATCTGACATAAAGCCTAGGTAGGTGACCAACACATAGCAGAGGCACAATCTGACATAAAGCCTAGGTAGGTGACCAACACATAGCAGAGGTACAATCTGACATAAAGGCTAGGTAGGTGACCAACATATAGCAGAGAAACAATCTGACATAAAGCCTAGGTAGGTGACCAACACATAGCAGAGGGACAATCTGACATAAAGCCTAGGTAGGTTACCTAGGAAAAGTTCATGTGTCTTTGCAGGTGACAAACAAATAATTCCCCCACCACAGCACCTGCCCTATAATACCATTAGGTTTGTGGATACCTACCTAGGTTTTCTGCTACAAGGTACCTAATAAATATTTTTTTTAGTGGCCTATTCTCAAATAAATAAAATTTCCAAACATAAAGATAGAAGCATAAACATCCAAGAGCAATTTACTGCGTAATAATAATATAAACATTTGTTTCTGTTTTTTTTTCTTCAAAGATTTTGCGTACAACACCCCTAGTATTTACAGTAGGACAGACCGTAATGCATACTGGCTTGGTCTTTGAATTATGTATTTGATTGATGAAAAAGGTAATTTATTTTTGAGGAGGAAACTTATTATTATAACAAAGATTGCATTGGGAACAATGTTCTTTAACACGTAAGAAATTGGTACTATATTAGAGTAACCACGTACATTATGTAAATAAGACTCCCTAATCACCTTCAAATCAAGCAGGCAAATGAACAGTCATTTGATAGGCTTAGACAGCTCCAATGGAATCACTGAACGATTAATGGGTGTCCGGATGGATGGGGACAAGGAAACTTGGGGTCAAAAAGGGTTGTGAGCTGAGGGGGGGGGGGATCGACTAAGCTCCGAGAACGATTCTTTTCCCAGAGTATGCCCCGTAAATTGTCTTCTTAAGAGTCCTTGATCTTGGATTATTTCAAACCGATATTTAAGGGGTTGTTTATCATCACAAAATATTGCTTCACATACCAAAGTACAAGCCTTTTTGTCCCTAACTTTCCATGTCCCCAACTATCCTTGTCCGCATCTTTCCTAAACTCGATTAATTCACGTTCTATAATTTTTGTTTACAGTTTTGTTGAACTGTAGTTTTTCTTGTACAGGCCACAACCACAAAAAAACTTATTTTTTGACCATTTTGATTGACCAAAGTGTACGATTTTGCTTTTACCTGATAGTTTTGTATATTATCTTTGTTTTAGTTTTCTGATTGGTGGTTACGGAACAGTTTACGAGGGAAGGGGCTGGAAGTGTTTAACTGCTTTTGAACCTGGTGAACAACGCGGCAGGTTGGAGATTTCATTTATTGGGGACTTCGCCACAAACTCCTCCATTCTAAGTAAGTATTATTGTTCTTAAAAGTTTAACGCTAGGAAATTTTGCAAAATAAGTTGAATGTTAATTCCCAAAGAACCAATCTGGCAAGAATTCTTTGCATAAAACCCTTTGATATTTTTTACTGTTTCAAAACAGTCATAAGACTCTTTGTGTGTCATATAGCACAAGTCAGAATTTTCAAAGACATGTTAGATTTTTTTGCATATTAAGTCAATGTCATTTGTTCACATGTTCTTAAGAAACTTCTATGCGAAGGGGGGGGGAAACGAAGACTAAGTCATCTTAACTTCTTGGTGACCATTTTGCTCAATGAGTTGTTGTTTTGCACTAAATAAATCGAGACTAACATCTTTCTGTCATAAAACACATTAAAACATTATACCATGGATTAAACATACTCCCTTGTGTTGGTTTCACACAAAGAACCCTTTTATTGGTGTAACCACATTAAAGTCGATACAAGGACGCTGCTTCGATGCAGCCTGGTTCAACAAATTTCGGCAATCTACGCCTAATGATGATGATGGCAACATTGATTGCCCAAATATCCATGCCTTTGTACAAGGCACAATGTAAATGATAAAATTATGTAGTACAAATCTGATGGTGTTATGTCATCTTTCTGTTCGTCCCATTTTTAAAATATGTTTTGCATTCAGAAAATGGTATTTTTTTTAAGGGCATGAAACACTACTCATCAGTAAGTTTGGTGTTATTCTGTTTTATTAGGATTTATGGATTGAACGTATCGAAATGTTTGATTTCGATTCCGTACGTATGATTCTAAAACCATGTTATGTTTCAGGGCCTCCACCGTATGAAATGTTCGCATCAGCACTGACACTAATTAAGCATGGACTGAAAAACGACTTCATAAGTCAGGACTATAAACTATCATACTTTATGCATAACCCCTTCCCAGAAAACGTAAAAGTTTTTAACATTTGAATTCCTCTGCGATCTAACCATTGTTCTTTTTCAGTAAACAGTTTATTTTTTATATTGTAACCAGTTCTGTGTTTCATTGTATATTTGAATACATCCAATACCGGTAGTGATTTACGGTTAGAATATTTTACAATGTGAAAGAAGATTGTCATATTTGTGTATCTATTAGCTTCAATTTGATGTTTGCTTACAATATAAGACCTTTCAACACATTTATATAGATTAACCTCGTAATAAACTACGCAAAATCTAGGTTTATACTAATCGAAATCATTACTTGTACTTGTTGAGTACTTCTTGACTACTTCTTGATTGGAGGCATTTAAAGATGCAATTTTTTTTAATACAGTAAGAATTAATTTAATCTATCTTTTGTTGTATTATTATTTACAATAATATTCTAGTATAAAACATACTAAGATCAGATTTTCATACGACAATTAGTAAACTTAATTGAGCACTTTGGAATAAAGAGTTGTTCTTAAGCTACGCAAGTAAGCTTATTTATCTAAGTAACTTTAGTTACAAAATATGGATGATATATTTAAATTTTTATATTTTTTACAAATCTTCTCAAAAGTGATATTTCATTGTTAAACATCTCTATCTAAGAGACAAAATATGCAGTATTGAATATTGCTAATTCTAACGGAACATCAAAATTAACAAACAATAATGTTGCATATCACTGATGCAATGAGGACTTATATTGATCGATTTGTCAATGCACTATTTTAACATTATTAAAATTTGACTTTAGTAAAGTTGTTTAAGGTATTTACTGTTTTCATTGTTTTCCACTTCATCGGAGTACACTTAACAACCAAGTAACCCATGATAACTGTTTTAATTGAGTGAAGATCGATTCCAACCAATGGAACCTATTGGTCAAAACAGCCTAGTAGTTAGGGGTGTAAACAACTCTATAAAGTAACTCGAAAGTACTCATATAAAAATCAAAAATATTGTTACGAAAGGGTCTGTAGTTCACTGACAGGTTATTTTCTGACTTGAATATTTCAAATCTGTTTCGAGTATAAAATTATAGATACTTGAAAATTGGGTAAACCAATGACAACATTATTGTTTTTCTCACAGTACCTACTACAATACTATACCATACTATAATATATTAAACGATACAAGAGTATAGTGGTATTATATTTTAAGGTCTTCCTCCCTCTTACTAACCTAATAAGGGAAATATATTTGCCCATATCTATGACAAAACACATTTAACATAATCGATTCAAATCTTAATACATTTAAAAATCACTCTCTTGATAACTTTCAGTACAATTACTAGATTATTTCATTCCGGATATGGCAGTTATATGCACAAGTCTGCTTGGTAAGTCAACACAAGTGTTATGACAAGAATGGTTTTTAAATTACTTTGTAATTAAAGGACTCTTCTCAATTATTATTATTATTATAAACTAGGTAAAGATTTATTGTTTTTGGCAGGTATATTACCATGCATATTTGTATAGCAGGTGAAAAACCTCATCTTAAATTTATTATTGATACAATGAATTATCTTCTTAAATTTAATAATAACTCTACTTGCCTTTACGACAATGTAAGTTTAAATGAAAAGGAAGAAGTTAAAGTAACGTAACATAGCTGGCTGCGTTCACCCTTATGAAAATCTCCCTAGTTTGTTGAGTAGTTTCTCTTTCATCCATTACCAACACACACATATATAGAAATCACATATAAAAAAAAAACATTTTAGACTCTTGACAACAAGAAGCCCATGAGGGTATTGTAATTCTCAAACAATTTAGATTTTTTATTTCACTATTCAATGTAATTGCAAACCTCTCCAAGGAGTCAACATTAATAAAAAGTTATATTTGATCATCCCAATGAGGACTTTCTAACGTTCTACTGTATTATATTTTAATAGAAAAACATTTTTTAGTCCAATACAATCGCCACAATGGTGAGAAAGCTCGACCTAGAGAACTACGGACCTGAGATAAAACTTATCGAGAGAAATGACTGGGGTGCGATCCCAGCTACCGACCGGAAACATTCACTCCCTCTGGAACTCCCGGTCCTGCTCCTGCGGTTCACTGAGACTGGTGTTCCCCTGGGAAGGAACATTCATCAGAACAAGATCCAGCTCCAGAACCTCCAGGCGCAACATATGGTGGAAGAGAACGCTGAAGATATAAAGTTCAAGTAATGACAACGGTAATTCTTGAACGTCCTAATATGATTCATATTTGACAATAATATTTAGCTATTCCATTAGGACTTCCAACTACCAAAAACTATAAGGTTGAGCTTTTGGCTTGATTTAAAAATCGACATCCTAATACTATGAGTATATGAAATTGTATGTAGAAAAAGACCACAGACTCTAAAAGCCTCTTCCTTAACAGAACCATTTTAATCTTTGAGGCATTGATTAACACTCTTTCGTTATGTATTTTTTATGTAAACAAACCCAAACTTAAGTCACATTCAATTACTTGGATGAGTGTACTAAGTTTAGTTAATCTGATTGTCCGTCCTACAGATAAAATTATCCCCAAATATTAATAAGTCGTTTGTGTAATACTTTTTATTTGTGGTTGTAGTGTTTGGTGAGTCGAATGTTCAGTCACTAACGATATGTGACATCAATTTAGGGATGTCTCGGCTTCATTTCCTTGATCACATAAAAATATATTTATCATTACAGTTGTGAATGACTTTACCGACTCATACCTTGCTTTGGTTGATTCGTTCACTTTCGTTCGTTGATTCGTTCATGCGGTCCATGTGGCCAAGCGAATTCAATGTTAAAAGAGTCAGATAACCTCTTAATGGTAATCCTACAATATAGTAACTTTCCAAATGCCATTTTCTCTGTTCCAGTTTTGCCGTGGGGACGTATAGTATTATGTATGAAGGTAGAGGGTTCACCAGAGGACCCCACAACAAAAATGGACCAGACAGTCCTCACATAATGGAGATTGCATACTGTGGAAAGTTCGACAAACGTAAGTCACCTAACTTGTAAATTCATATAAAATTTCATTAAACTTTCGATTCCCTTTGAATTTTATGGTAATGTTTATGTATAACTGTGAATTTCTGTTGAAGAATATCGATAGTTTCTATTGAAATACTGTGTTTTCGGTTGTGTAAGTTTGGAAAAATTTAATAGAACACTGAACTCTAATTATTTTATGTCCTAAGTGCAATGTATACGTGAAACTGACAACGAATCTTCTCAAGCGGGTTTTATTTGTTATACGTTGTTTGACAATTGCATCACACCGAATGTAGCATCCACTGGACTATCAATTAGAATGCTTTAAAACAAAATGTTGACGTTAAATAGTAAATTAAGGACCAGGGTTTGGATTGTTTCCATACAAAACCAGTTGAAAATGATAACGTCGTGGTTATACAAACAAGTAAATAACAAATAAACTAATCAATATAAGCTAATATTGCAGTTCCGGAGCTATACGAATAAACCTCACTGTTTATAAACTTATGCCCTTACTGTAATCACCGATTTTCTATCATCAGTACCAACTAGTGTACCTGTTGCTCGAATTCGAGCAATTGTGAAGCATTACAGGCGTTATTTTAAAACGAATAACAGTCATAATTTCCGACGACTTTATAAGAGTCGACTCAAAGATTATGGAAATACTCAAGATGTACACAGCAATTAGATAAAATCAAAACTTTTTGTAAATATCTTATCTTTTTTCAAAAGCTGACCTTGTTTTTTAGTGTTTTCTACAAATTTTCCCCACTCATAGCCGCATTAGGTTGTCTATAACGATTATAAATGAAAAAAACAAACATTATTTCTATTTCTTCCACTGTACTTGGTTGTGTTCTACGACTTTCCTGTTTTCATTGTTTGCAAATCAGCTCTTTCAATTATTGCTCAAGAAATGTAGCACAGTGTTAATTCAGTTTTATTTTTAGTATATCAAATTGTCCAGTATTTCTCACTTTTTCCATTGTAATTTTTAAAATTACACCAACCAAGTATCGTCTACTACAGATGCAATACGCCAAAGAATATCGTCTACGTGTAATCTCCAAGAAGTGGTAAAAAAGGCAGAAACCAACCCAGACAATAGATATAATAATACTCAATAAGAAATAATTTTAAGAGTTACTGTGATATTAGGATTTTCCACTGATTTGGTAATAGAACATATATTGCAAAACATGGCACGATTCAGAAGAAAATCGATTTTAAAATCAGAAGAAAAACCATTGCAAATACTTAACTTTGACAAATTTAGTAAATAACAATTTAAATATTAACAGCTGTTTCATTCAAAAGTAGTGTAAATGTATGTAATATTGTAATATTATATGGTCGTAATGTAAACAAATCTGAAAAGGGAACTTTAAAGGCCTCTGGGGCAGAGCCCCAAGGGGATTTACCTTGTTTCTCTTTTGATGGCTCATCTACAGACTAAGACCTCTCTTTAGAGACCCCTACCAAGTTTCTACGCCCAGTCTTTCTCTGTAATTAGCTGTGACAAAGCCCGTTTTTCCTCCATAAGAATAACATGGGATGGGAATTTAAAGGCCACTGGGGCAGAGCCCCCCAAACGAATTTACCACGTTTCTCTTTTGATGGCTCATCTACAGACCAAGACCTTTCTTTAGAGACCCCTACCGAGTTTCTACACCCAGCCGTTCTCTCAAATTAGCTGTCACAAAGAAAAACAGTTTCAAATTAATATATAGATCATTCTGTTACCTATATTGAAAAGAGCATAGCTATATTATAAGTATGTCTATGTTTGTGTATGTGCGTAGGTGAGAACAAGAAAATATACTTATGTTCCAGTATGAAAGTTGATCTTTTGCCTCGAAAGAAAAAATTTACACAACGAAAAATTGCTGAAGGTAAATTGTACTATTCTCTAGTATTGATGTAATTGTATGATCACAATAAAATGGATGGTCGTCTGTTATTATATGTTAGCAACACCAAACATGTAACCTTTTATTGCATTAAATGCGCATTTTCAAATAAGTATGCGTTTTATATTCCATTTGCTTTAATTAATAATTTAATATTAGGAAAAGATGTTTATCGGTTTTCTTTTTCAGGTTCCATTCCATTTTGGGAGGCATCCGTCACGTTGCTGAATTTTATCAAATATGGAATTAAAAATCAACTTATAAGTCCAATGTTCAGGATTATAGATTAGTTATAGTTTATTGGTCATGGCAAAATGGTTGAAGCTATACAACTGCTTACATTTACTAATAGTAAAATGTAAAGTAACTAAATATAAATAATGGTTTAGTATATAACAAAAAAAGTTATGAATAGAGGGTTGGTTTAAATTAGAAACCCCAAGAATAAAAGAAAATATAACCTGCAACTATAAAAGAATACTGAACATAGTGGTTTCTACTTAGTTTTAAAAGATGAAAAATTATTATTAATTATCTGGCAATTTGTTTTACTTCGAAAAAGTATATGTCAATAAACTAATTTTACGTTTTCTATTTCCTGTCTTCGGTGTTCACCCCAATTTCAGATTTAATTTGAAATCTTTTGTGTAGTCAATGCATTTTTTCATGCTTTTATTTAATAAATTATTTTTATAATGATTAAAATGTCAAAACTTGTTAATCTATAGCCGTGTAAAGGGAATAGCAAAACATAAACATCTCAATCTTGAAATTAGCGATCAAACAAACAAAATACTCAAAGCAAATAGTTTTACAATCACTCTAGCATTTAGTTGAACAGTTGAGCACAATAAATATACAACAAATAATAGTGTATTTGGAAAATGTCTGTCCGTTCTATGTTCATATAACAAGCAATACAGTGTAGCAAACGTGCCATAATGGCTGCGTCTTTCCCCTACGACGCAAGGTGGACCCAATATAACAACCCTGTCATGCTTGACCTTAATGCTTATGGGTCAAATAATGGGGACATTTCCTACATCTGCTGCTAGGTTCAACTCTGCAACTAGGTTAATATCTTCCGACCTTTCTGTTTCTTTCACCATTTTACATTGTAAAAGGCTGCAAGATTGTTTTACAGATAAAAAGAATAAACCGTTACATCCGTTCCGCTTTTCTCTAAACGTATTTAATAGTGTTATATCATTCACAACACTATATGAGTGGCAACTGAGGCTATATGTAGCTCATATTGGGATTAATATACAGGGTATTTTTTATTAAGTACTAATGAGACATTGTTTAACACCAAAATAAGGTGATATAATGGTATTTTTATTTAATTCAGTTCCGATAAGCTGATATGCATTGTTGCGTTGTCTTCGAGGCTTAATGTTATTGGGAATTGATCAACATGGTGTTTTCGCAATCTCAAATAGAGTAGTATCGTATTTTTACGTTTTGTTTTCTACACACCCGGTTTGCTTAAAATTTCTATAAATCTATGAACAATTGACTTATTAGGCACTGGAATTGCACCTGTAAATGATTTAATTTTAACACAATCTTATCCAATACAAACTCTTTGAGCATGCAAATAACACTATGTTGAATCTTAATATATATATTAATATATATATATAAATTAATTAGTTGATAATAATGAATTAAACCTCATAGATAAATGCAACAATGCATTTCAGCTGATCGTCGATGAAGTAAAGAAAACATTGATACCAACATATAAATGTGTTTGTAATTAAAAGTGTCTCACGGTACTTTTAATTTTGGCTGCGCTTAAAAAACACCCTATATTTTATATCCTTATGGAAAATAACATTAGTATTTACAACTGCTTGATCAATGAGAAAAGTGATTTTTTTGTTATAACTTTATCATTTTCTCATCATTATTATTATTGGTAATTATTGGTGTATTCCTTTCTTGGATAAATGTATGATAATTTATTCGTCCCCTTACAGCCTAAATTGAAGATTGTCCTGTTAGTTGACACTAAACTAGATTAATCACTCAGAAATGTTTGTTTTTTTTAATAAGCTACTAACACAGAGCCGTATATAGCATATCAATGTAAATTTCAAAGTAGTATGGATCCGTCCATTAATTAATTCAGGATAATTATTTAAAAGCCTAAAGATCAAGAATACCTGGATCCAGCTTAAACCACCAACAAAGTACTGACTTTTTCGAGATCACACCGATTTTGTACTATTTCCCTCGCCAAAGACCATTAAAATTTTTATTGAAATGAATCATACGTTATATGATACCACGATTGTCACAATTACCACAAACAATAGCACTCAACTTCGTGCACTCATTGTCTCAGTGCATATTTATGAGGAGATGATTGCACTCAACGTACATTAAAGGTTTGTGTATTTAGGCTCATGCATATTGATAGAGAAGGGTGATATCAACCAATAACGTGCTTTGATATGTTTCAACATGGCATGTTTGTAGTCTTTAATCAAGTTTTAAGTGACACAAAGGTATATTACCTTTGATTTTGAAATCTCTTTACTGACTTTGATAGGATTTTTATTTGTACTAAGCGTTTATTTATTGTTTCCCATCATGTTGAATTGACTAACACTTATTTTAGGTAGGTAGCTACTTCATGGTTGCCATAGGTTGTCTTCGTGGTATGAAGAAGCAATAAATTAGGTAGACATTAATATTTTGAGTCCGTAGGACCAACATTCTGAGTATGTAAAGAACTTAGGTCAAACACCTGAATGAGGAGAAATATATCTTAATTCCGTCAATACAATAGGATGCTGCGAGAAAGGTCTAATACAATAATAATTAGTGTTGGTATTGTACTTGTTTAATTCGTTTATTCTATCTACACAGTTGAAGAACTCTGCATTGATTAAGTGAAATTACAACTTTAATTCAATCTAAAATTATGTTATAGATCAACCGTAAGGCCCTATATGTTATTGTCTAGTTGGCCAAATCGCAGTGCACGCCTTCAAACATTAAGGTTCTGGTTCGATACCAAGCGTGAAACTCAGTCACCATTTGTCAATATGCTATCAATTTACTATGCTATCTTACAAAATGTCGATGTAAATAGTAACAAGACCAAGATTTGGATCGTTCCCTTGAATGGTAACAAAATTTCGATGAAAAAAACGTACAAAATAGAACGTGTGTACGATTTTCCTTGTATGAAAATTCACTCGGACGATGTTTCCGAAACGAAGACTTAGTGGCAGTTAGAAAGGCTTACCCGCAAATCCCCGGATATTGGACGTTACCGTCTCTGGTTAGTTGCTTCAGAAATTACAACCTACCACTGAAATTGAATTTTTTTAAGTGAGTAGAGCGGTTATTTGTGATAAAATCGCGCAGAATCCTATTACTGAATAATCCCTACAATAGCGTGTTTAATACCTTAAATAATAACATTTTTACTTACCTTACTTAGTTCATTACCACGTAGGGAAGGCATGCTTCCTTGTTGGTTTATGTTAATTGTGTCAAAGGTTGATTAGGTGTTATAGTCAACCAAACAGTGTTTTCTCTTAGTGCTGTAACAAATTATTATCAATACAAGTGTTTATAATAACTAAGTTGCAGTGTATTTAACTGCAATGTTTAAATTTAAATACAAAGATTAACAGGATTTATTTAATTGTAGGTATATACGATTGTCTTGCGATTTAAAACTCGAGTAAGCCTTTTTTTAAATAAAAACACTGAGGCGTTCGAGCATAATAGCATTAACAATAGTAATAGTAATAGTCAATAGTCAATAGTCAATAGTAATAGTAACTTATCCCATGGACTCAGAATGTGGGATTTTTATTAAAACTTAAACATGAATAACCTTATGTTTTTACTTCGGAAAAATATTTTATACTCCTTTAAAAAGAGGAATGCGAGTGAAAACTAGAGGTCTACAATTATAACCCAATAGTTAATAGAAGCAAAGTGGAAAAACTTCGCTGATTTTGGTAGTTTAGAATATGTTTAAAAGCAATTAGTGGTTCGAATAATTCAATAGCAGTCCCTTTCAATACAAAACAATGAATATAGTGTTCGAGTTTCAAATTAGTATGAGTATGCAACAATTAAATAAAGCTAACGCTAGCCAAACATTGGTTTCCTCTGAAAGAGCTTAAGTCCATATGTTATACATCGTGTTTACAGAATTGGATTCAAAACTAATTTGGACACGAAATAATGGTGAAGTGGGCAACAAACCAAGTTGTATGGGTATGTTCAAGTCCACTCCAACCCCGGGAGCGAGTGAGCGTAGCAGATTGGAGTGAGTGAGAGTAGTAAAGTGGAGTGAGGCGTTGGACCGGACACGATTGCGACCTGACGCAAGCAAATAATACAGACAAGAGGATACTTGTAGTTGTACATACACGGCGCTTGAGTACGCTGAAATGTAATTTTGAGCCAGTGTTGAACAGGTTTATATTAAAATATCAATTCTCGTCGCTGCGTGAGTTTTATCTTCTCATGCGATAATAAATTTAGTGTTATGTGATTTTTTGTATGCCTATGTTTTATTCTATATGCAGTTATGTCAAATAACTATATTCCTTGCTTTTATTGAAATACTTAAGTTAAATAATTTTTTGTTCAGTTTCAAGGAGTTTTAGCACTAGTTAATGATTGTTTTAAAGTTGAAAAGGTTTGAAATGAGTAGAATTTAGTTGTGAACTTTGTTTATACTTTAACACTGGTATTCAGATAATTTTAAACTATTCACTTTAGAGTTTAATACAATATTATTGTGAGCTACTTAGCTTTTTTCTTAAATGGCTGAAATATAAATTTTGGCGAAATAGATTATGACGTAATAAGACTGTATAACGAAGTCTATAAATATCTTTTAGATAGTTTTTTTTTTTTTTTTTTTTTTTTTTTGTATAAATTTAAAACATAAACCCTAAAATAGCGGATATTTCACTAATGCTGGATAAAAAAATATTTTTGACTTTTGTTTAATTTTGACCCATTAAAGTTAATTCCTAATATTTTTGCACTTACTTACGGGACACACTGTATAATCTGTTCGTTAACAATTAGTAATGTAAGAAAACATGTTTCCATGATTTAAAAGAGTCAATATGGAAGTGTCAAAGTGAAATTCGTGCATTTGCAGATTTGCTGTGAACGAGGTATTTTCTTTTGTATAGCATACTCCGTACTTTTAGGTCAATTGACAAAATAATCCACTATCCAAAAGTAACGATTCAAAAGACGGTCTAGTGGCCAGACGACCAAGTATCTTGTCGGTCTACTGGTAGGCTCCCATTCAAAACATCACAATATATAACTGCAATAACACTGACACTTGGCACTAAGACCACATATCTTTAACCCCTGATTCTCCTTGTAAAAGCATTTGTTTACTATTCAAAGATGGTTCTTTGACGCATGTTTTCTTAACCGTCTCAAGTGTATTGACATCATCAAAATCTGTCAAGGGGAACG